AAAAGATGTATTAAAAACTTATATTTGGGGGCCGGGTGTGGTGGTGCATGCCTTTAATTCCAGCACTCGGGAGGCAGAGGCAGGAGGATCTCTGTGAGTTTGAGCCCAGCCTGGTCTACATAGTGAGTTCTAGGCCAACTGGGACTACAGAGAGACCCTATCTCAAAAAGACCAAAAAACAAAACAAAACAAAACTTCTGTTTGCTTATGTTTTTGAGACTATTGCCTATTACCCCAATCTATAATCCGTATATAAATAGTGTGAATTTTTTTTAAGTTTAAGGACATGGAAACTTTGTTTTCTTTGATAAAAGCTGCTTTTTCTTTTCTTTTTTGAGACAGGGTCTCACCATGTAGCTCTTGCTGGCTAAGAACTCAGTATGTAGACCAGGCTGGCCTCGATCTCACAGAGATCCACCCTGAGTCCTGGGATTAAAGGTTTGCACCTCCACAGCTGACTTTCATTTTATAAACAATAAAATGTATATAATTTACTTGGCATAGGGCTGAATTTGGGTGTTAATTGTAGCAGTATGGTAATTTTCAGTCATATCCCTCAGGAATGAGCAGACCTTGAGCATGTGGGACTGTTTTAGCTGGGTACTCATTACAGTCGGAAAATGAAGCCAAATGCATGACTGGTGTTGTGTGGTTTAGAAGCCAGTCATCAGCATTTGCATTTACTCTGATAGACAGTAGAAGACCTGCTATGCATTCTTCACAGGAAAATGATATGGTAGAAACACTGTTTCAGAACAGTTAATCCGGCAGTGGTGTGTGAGGTGAACTCAAACCTGGAGAGCCCCAAGACTAAGCGTGTACTAGAGTAAGACCAGCATGAAGAATGAAGATGCTGTCTTCAGTGGAGAGGAAAAGTGAACACTGGGTGCTAGAAACAGTGAAGTGGGCTATGACTGGGTTTTGAGAATGTAGTGAAACCGGAAAGGTAGACTACATTGTGAGCAGTTTTTATGAGAGAAAGTAATGGGTTTGTTTTTGACAACCTGTTTTTGTTGGTTTCGAATCTCATAAGAGAAAGTTTGGAATTGTTGGGAGATCTGGACTAGAGGAAAACTGCTTGTTATAGGTGAGTTTTTATTAAGCGAAAAGAATACAAGGCCAAGAGGCTGAAAGTGCCTTCAGAAGCAGTGTGGAGGGAGGAGGGTGAACCGTGCTTCCCATTGTGTGTCCCAGTGGCCAACAACTACTTCCTTGATTGCAGGACCAGATAAGTTTACATTAAATAGACTTCTTGTTTCTCTGCCTCTCTGATTCTGCAATGATGTATACCATTTTTTACATCTCTGAGGCCTCCTCAAATTTAGATTTACGTACCTCACTAAAAGAATTTTAAAACTTATTTTTACTTATTATTAGTAGGAGTATGAGTTTGTGTGCATGTGCCGTGGCATATGTGTGGAGGTCTGAGGACAACTTGTGGGAGTCAGTTCTTTCCTTCCACCTTGTTAATGCCGGATCTCTTGTTTTTGCTGTGCTCTATACTCCAGGCTGACTAGTTTCTAACTCCCATCACATCACATTGGGATTACAGGTTTTTTAAAACGTGGGTTCTGACAACTTAGGTTGTCAGAAATGTGTGGCAAGTGCTTTTACCTCTTGAGCCACCTCACTGGCCCCCATTCTCTGCTTGAGTATTAGACATCTTTAACTATCTAAAATGAAATTTCTGGTTTTCCCCACAAAACTTAATTCCCCATCTCAGTTGATGGCAATTTTATTCTTTTCACTGACTGAAAAATGCTGTGGTAAGAAGTAAAATAGAAATTTCTTGGCTTAGTATGTAAAGTGCTCTGCACGGTTGATGAAAAGTAAGGACAGTTTAGAGAGAAGTATTGCTTGACCCCTTTCTTTGTCTTTATACAGTCACTGAGTCCACATTGTCTCTTCCTTCAAATAGATCCAGAACCTGACAACTTCTTTTAAGGCAGGTTCTTGCCAAGTAGCCCAAGCTGTTTTCTAATGCATAAAGTTCAACATTCCTGCCTGAGATTATAAGTGGGTTATCATACCTAGTTTTCTCATCACTTCTTGCTTCAACTGATTCTATTAAAACACTACTACATTTTTCTGTAGTAACTTCTCATTTCATTCAGAATAAATGTATCAGTTTTCCAGTGGCCTACAAATACTTTTCATTCTGACTTCTCATTGACTCTCAACTGATTTACCGTTCTTTTCCTCCTTCACAGTGCCCTTTGTTCATCTCTAAGACATGTTCTTTCTAAGACATGTCCTAAACACTTTCTTGACTTACAGCTGTCACATTTCGTTTCCTGTTTCTATCATGCTCTTTCCCCAGATATGTGAGTTAAGCTATTTAATTCCCTTCCCGCCATCAAGTCTTTGTTCAGATTCCAGCCTCTCTAACGAGAATAACCCTGACTACCCTGTAGAAAATATGAAATATGTCTTTCCCCTATTTCCATCCTTTTTTTCTTTTCCAGTTTTCATCTTCTTTAGTTCTTTTTACTTAGCACTTACTACCTTCTTTTATTTTAAAAAATATTTCATGTATTATTTTTATTTTATGTGCATTAGTGTTTTGTCTGCATGTATATAAGAGCATCAATGTCATGTAATGCCCCTGGAGGTCAGAAGAGGACGTCGGATCCCCTGGAACTGGAGTTACAGAGGGTTGTTAGCCACCATGTGGATGCTAGGAACCAAACTGGGTCCTCTGCAAGAACAACCAGTGCTATTAACCTCTGAGCCATCTCTTCAGCCCCTTTACTTGTTACCTTCTTATTTATGGTTATAAATGTATATTAAAAAAAATTTTTTTTTGAGACAGGATCTCACTATGTAGCCCTGATAGGCCTGACACTGGCTATGAGAACAAGCTGGCCTCAGTCTCACAGGGATCTCACAGAGGAATGCCTCTGCCTCCTGAGTGCTGGTATTAAAGGAGTGCATCATTATACCTAGTGTATTTTATATATTTTTAAAAAGATATATTTATTTTATTAGGTTTTTTTTTTTTTTTTTTTAAGTTTTTGAGACAGGATCTCCCTGTCACCCCAGCTGGTGTGGAACTCATTATGTAGACTAGGCTAACCTTGAACTCACTATGTAAACCAGGCTGGCCTTGAACTCACAGAGACGCGCCTGCCTCTGCCTCCCAAGTGCTGAGATTAAAGGCATGCACCACCATGTTTGTCTTTTAAAAGATTTATACTTTGTCTATTAGATAGCAAATTCTTTGAGTGCAGATCTTTTTATATGTTTTATTTACTGCAAAGCTGCAACACCTAAAATACTGCCTTGGTACTTGATAGCACTTAATAGACATTTGTTAAATGAATGAATGGATCCTAAGATATGAGTGTATGATTCCACAGAACCCACACAACCCCCTCCCCCAATCCTTTTTTCTGTTTTTTCCAAGGATGCACTTTAGGAATTGTGTTATGATTGGTTGTAAAATTCAAGGAAGTTTCCAGAGAGTTGTGATTTGTTTAAGGCAATGAGTGAATTTAGAGAGGGGACTAATTGGTAATTGTAGAGGAAATTGCTTTAGTGCTATGAAACATCAAATTCAAGGGAGTAAAGTTGAACATAGGTGTTGAAGAAAAAGGCAAGATAAATTATCCTCAGGGAGTTTAACTTTTAAGAAACTGAGGGAAAAAGAGAGATGTTGCAGATTCAACACAGTGCTGTGTGTGTATGTGTGTGTGTATGTGTGTGTGTGTGTGTGTGCTGTGTGTGCTGTGTGTGTGTGCTGTGAGTGTGTGTGTGCTGTGTGTGTGTATATGTGTGTGCTGTGTGGCACACACAAGTGGCAAGAGACAGGGAGTGTGAATATGAGTCTTTTCTGACTTTTCCCTTTAGGAAGAAAATCTCCCCAGTAGGATTCAGTCACAAAGGCTGTGCCCTGTAACCTTATTAATCCTAATCTGCTTTCAAAGGTCCCACATCTAAACAGTTTATTTCAGTTGAGCTTCCACCCTCTGAATAGCTCACAACGACAATTAAATTACAACATATAAATCCTTAAGGTACATATTCAAACCATATCCAAACCAGAGCATCTAGTGTATTGCATAGACAGTTTTAACATTGTGTTGTAATAAACATATGAACTAAAGCACCCTGAATCTCAAGGAATGTAATTTGGAGGTATCAGTGCTGCATGGAAGTTAGATAAATTGGGTTGTCTTCTTTTCCCTTCCCTCCTCCTGTTTTTTTTTTTTTTTTCCCTCAGCACAGTAGGATTGAGAAGGTTGGTGTAAATATTAAAAATTGGAACTAATTGCTTGTTTGTTCTTTTAACAGACAAGTAAGTTTTGACGTTTCTAGGTCATTTCTGCACTTCCTGAAGAAAGTTCAGTTATGTGTCACATTGGTCAACTGCAGCTGGATTAGGGCTGAGTGGGAAGCTGTACCAAAGGGACAGTAGTTCTGTGACAGTTTGATGTTTTCTCCCTTGTGCTTTCTTTTTTTTTTTTTTTAAAGAGATTTATTTTTATTTATTTTATGTGTGTGTCTGTGCCTGAGTATGTATGGGCACTGCATGGGTACATGTGCCCACCTGATGTAGGTGCTGGGAACTGAACCTGGGTCTTCTGCAAGGGTAGCAAGTACTCTTAAATGCTAAGCTATCTCTCCAATCCCTCCCTTGTAACTTTTGATCCATAAGAAGATTAGTTTTTAGTTTAAATATGTGGCTGAACTTTTGAATTAAAAAAATCTTCTGAGTCTATGAATTCATCTGTTTCAGGATTAAGTTATGGGAAAAAAAAGTACGAGCTGTTGGGCATGTTTAGTTTATTATCAGTGATATTTGAGTGCTGAGGTGGTTACACTGAAGGTTAGGCTGAGTAGTACTCTGTAGAAGTATATGGGTTATTTTTATTGTTGTCTTTGAAATAAATTGCATTCATATTATTTGAAGAATAATTGGTTTCAACTCCAGACCAATCAGAGGATTAATAAATATTCTTTTGTTTTGATTTACAGAAGCATATTTAAGAGAAACAAAAATGTTGGATGATATCAGGAAAAGGTTTGATTTTCCAAATTCTCTTATCCAGTCACAGGTAATTTTATTTATTTTTGCTTCATGGCAACAAGTGAACCTTTTGGATGGACAGTAAATTGAACTTTATATTTCTGATATTAAGTGTTTTAATTATATGTATGAGGCTTATTTTACTAAGCAACTTTTATATGAGCTAATCTGAAAAGTACATTTGATTAGAAAAGCAAATAAAATCGATCAATTTCAGCTTTTATTTATTTCATACTTCTTTTTCCTAGAAATAATATAATCTTGATTCACTAGTAGGTTAATATGATTACTTTTTTGCCTGTGATTAGTAATTGGGAGCAAAGCTGGATGTGGTGGTGCACGCCTTTAATCCCTGCATTCACACTGAGGAGGCAGAGGTAGGTAGATCTCTTGTAAGTCAAGGTGAGTTCCAGGTCAGCTAGGGCTACAGGCACACTGTCCCAAACCCAACCGAACCAAACCAGTTGGGAACAGAGGGAAATGGTTATATATATATATGCACACACACACATACTCGGAGTATGAAGGATATTCAATACTTAAAATACCCTGGATTAATGTGATATGATCTACCTGTGTAGTGAGGAAATTGGGATAGCTTATTTTAGAGAGCTTTTCAATAATTAAGACAAATAACTAAAATAATGATGCTTTTTCTAGTTTGCTGTTAGCTAAGTAGAGGCATTCTACAATAAGTTACCATAATAGCTTATTGTCTTTTCCTGTGAGTAAAGCTGAGAAACAGCAAAAGCCAGTCTGAAGACTTACCTATGACAATGTCTTGGATACTTTAACCTTTTACCTTTGGAGATGTGTGTTGTAGGAATTGATTTAGCTGGGTAGTGGGGAACCATTCCATGAGGAGTAGAAGACTCCTATGCAAGATTCCCTTCTACCTGACTGGGTTAGAGTCATATCCTGCTTTGGGCAGCATAGGTCCTTCCCAAGAAGAAGATGAGAAAGATCTTGTCCACAGTTTTTAGTTTTCTGTATTTGGAGAACCTTCAATAGCATAAATAAAAAAGGAAATGCCAATATGTATTACTGTTAAGTGAAATAAAAAATGTGTATGCATTGTTTAGTGTAGATTGTCTTTTTAAATTCTGTTTGGATGGAAACTTTAAGTAGGGTGATTTATCCTTGTATTTTGTTCTTTCAGAGCCATTTAGGCTCTTATTTCTGATTCTTTGAAAAGATGAATGGAATCCTCTGGGGAGTGGGGAGACATATAACATTAAATTTATTTCCTTTTTGTCCTTTTTAAAATGAAATATGGCTTTTGTCTGTTGCAGTTCATATTGGTTGTATTAGGTTCTTGTTACTGTGCCCTTTCCTCTATGAGTCAGATACTATTCTTTTATCACCACTGCTCCATGTTAGCACCATATTTCATTGATTCACATACTTTACTTTTGTTTTTTTTTTTTTTGCCTTTTTGCTTTTTGGAAATTAGATGACATTTAATAACTGATGACAACAATTGCGATATATTGTATACCAAGTTCACAGATGTTTTCCATGATTTCCTAAAAGAGTCTAAAAGAATTTGTTGATTAATGTAAAATCAAAATTCTAACTTGTGGGAAGCATTGTGTATCATAGATTAATTGGCAGCCTTTTCCCCCCTTCGTGATAGGTAAAATAGTGTTGTATCCTTCAGTTGATGACCAGGCATTCAATGAAATATGGAACTCAGACCATCTATTGGTCTTTAGTTTTCTTGTTATCCTTTTTGTTAGGAGATAATAGACAGTAAATGGGACTAAAGTTATTCTTTATGTAAGTGAATGACTTGGTTCATAAAACTTAAGTATTGATGTCTTAATTTCCAATGCCTGAAACGTGTGTACATGTGCATGAAGGGAATGAATACGACCTTGTTCTTTGAACTTTTCTGGAGACTTTGCAAGGTTCATAGATATTTTCAGCAGTATTATTCATGGTTCCAAGTGCAGGATGGACAGTTGTAGTAGTGAAGATTTCTCCAGCTGTGTGCAAAATGGTTGTCATTGTTGCCGGCCTATTTGCTCTCCGTCAGCAGTGCTGGGTAGGACTGTAGAACTAGGAGTATGAAGCTCAGGCAGTAGGAGGTGATATTTATACCATCAACTTTCCTGTAAGAGTCTGCTTTTCATTTTGGGCTCCTTGATTAAAGTAGGATATGGGAAAATTTTAGAGACTGTGAGACCAAAAACCTTCAAGAATTAAAACCTCTGCGAAAGGGATAAAGAAATTAAAATAGGGCTGTGTGATGACTGGATGGGTTTATACTAACTCTGACAATGACCGGAATTCAATCCCCTGGACCCACATGGCGGAAGGAGAGAACCAACTTCTGCAAGCTGTCCTCTTACCTTTATACTTGGGCCGTGGCATATGCACACAAAATAAATAAATAAATGTAAGAAATATTTGAAGAAATTAAATAGGGTCCGGAGGAGGGAGAACAGGCTGACACAGATAAAGATCTACTAGTTCAGGTCTGTGTTGGCTGTATCTATAAAGGGAAGGGTGCATTTTCCTCCCATCTCCACTAGGGGCACCATGAAACCTGATAGACTGCATTTAGCTACAAAGATGATTTTAAATTTTATTTTTTAAATTTTATGTGTATGCGTGTATTGCCTGCATGTAGGTAAGTGCACACATGCCATGCAGTGCCCGCAGAGGTCAGAAGAGGCTGTTGGATCCCCTGGGACTGGAGTTATGGACAATTGTCAGCTGCCATGTGGGTGCTGGGATTTGAACCTGGTCTTCTGCAAGAATAACCAGTGTTCTTAACTGCTGAGCCATCTCTCCAGCCCCACAAAGATGATTTTAAAGACTCGGATTTTTTTTTTTTAATTCAACTCATGGTTTAATGGATTATATAATCTCAAATTGTCTTTTAATATTAAACGATCACAATTTGAACTGAGGGTTGACGACTTTACTAACATTTATGAACTACTGTTTGTTTATTGGTAATCTGGGATAAAATTGTCTGTTTTGAAGGTTGTTCTGAAGATGTGAAGTTATGTATGTGGAATGCCTCATTCACTGCTTTCTACACAGCATATACTCAGTGAAAGAGACTTCTGTTTATTACCCATTGACTACTTGGTACAATCATATATCCAAAAGCATAGTATTTGTGCTGATTACTTTTAAACATATTCTTTGGAAAGAATTTCTGAGTGAATGTGTTTGTTAATTTTGTTTTTTTAGGCTGTAGGTCATCTTATTGCTGCAGTGATTAAAGAACATGGGTTTTCAGAAAAGATACACCAGTCCACAAACCAGGTCTGTGTTTAACTGTATATGTGTGTGTGTGTGTGTGTGTGTGTGTGTGTGTGTGTACATGTATGTGCTTGCTTTAATTCTGTCTAGATGTTTTACCTGTTGGATCACACATACACACACATACATACCTTGCTTCTCTCATAGTCACTGTAGAAATGATTTTGAACTATGAGGATTTTGTTGCCTGTGCATTTTGCTTTGCTTTCTTTTCTTCTTTTTCTCTTTCCCTTTTTACCTTTTCTATCCTTCCTTCCCTTACCTCCCTCTTTTTTAAAAAATTGTTTATTGATCTTTTGTACAATTCATACAATAGTTCTTAAAATCAAATTTAGATCCCCTCTCCCATATATGCCCCCACATATGCGCCTTACCCCTTCCCCACCTCCAACTGGATCTCATGCATTCTGTCATCCATGTTAAGTCCTGTTTGGTCAAGCATTTATATCCAGATGAACTTTGGTGCAAGTTCACCCACTGAAGTCTAGTCAGCCTCCCTAGAGATCTTAAGGAAGATCTACTCTCCCCCACCCAGCAGTAATCAGTTGCCAGCAGTTCCCAGGCGAGGGCCAGCCTGCTGCCCATTTCCCTTGCTCCACTCTGAGCCCTTTTCTGATTGAGTCAGCATGGGTCTTGTTTATGACACCACCATTGCCACAAGTTCACATGAGCAAGCTTTCAGTGGCCTGAAAGCCTCTGTTTTCCTGTGTTCATGGACCCAACCCTGCCTCTTACAATCTTTCTACCCCCTCTCCTGAAATGGTCCTTAGCCATGGGTAGGTGGACGATGTTTAATATAGTCGTCCTATCCAAGGACACACACTCTGCAGTATCTTATTCTCTAAAACTGAGCCAGTTGTGACCTTCTATGTGCATCACACTCTGTTGTATAATGAGGCTTTGCTGGTGAGAGTGGAGATGCACTAATGTTCTCTCCATCTCCTGTTCCGCTATGTTATATGAGCCCTAGGTATAGAGGTACAATTGTGGATATGTCACCTAGGGCTGGGCATCTCTCAGACGTATATTCTCTGTGTGTGACCAGTTGTGGAACTGTGCAATAGCCCCCATCTATTGCTAAAAGAAGCTTCTTTGATGAGTGGTGTACAGTATACTTGTTGGGGTAGTAGGAGGTCTGGTCTGTGTCAGGCAGATCATGAGTCCAGGGGAAAGTAGGGGTGAGGACAGCCTGTGTAGGGTCTTAACAAACTGTGCTAGAGGATTTAGCTATTCTGGGTAGGAAGCTAGTCTAGTATTCTGAGGTAGAGGAACAGGAGTGGGCCTGGGCCCAAGGCTAGCAGGGGACAGGTTGGGTAGATTGGAGGTATTTTGGCCACAGGGGCATCAAAAAGAGAAGTGGTGGGTGGACTCTGACTTACCAGTGTAGTGGGGCGGGGGGCCATCTGTATCAGGCAGATCAGGAGTTTAGGGGAAGGTGGGGGTGGCGACTCCTGTGTAATGTCTTAGCAAATTGCACTAGAGGATTTAACTTGTCTAGGTTAGGAAGCTAGTCCAGAGTTCTGAGGCAGAGGAGCAGGAGATCCCTTTCTCTTTTTAGACAGGGTCTCACTATGTAGCCATGACTGGCCTGGAACTCACAGAACTCTGCTCCCAAGTTCTGGGATTAAAGGCTTGCATCATCACATGTGGCTCTAGCATTCTTTTAAACTTTAAAATTTGTAACTAACTATAAGAAGTAAGACACAGAAAGGGTAAAGGTGTTCTTGTAATCTTGTAACTATTAATGGGGAATAATGAGCATAATGACAGAGAACTTACTTTCAAGAATAGTGACAGAGTTACCTCTAAGGGAAATGTTTTGGAAATAGAGAAAATGAGCGCAGTATTTGGATGTAGGAGAGTTCTTATGCTTCGGGGTCAATCCCAAGTGTGAGTTCCAAGCTGGGAAGGTCCTGTATTGACAGTTGGAGTTGGAGGAAAGCTTTTCATCTCTCTCACACAGGAGATGAGAGCCCAGAGTTGAAGTAGTGCCTAGGAATCAGAGGCATACCACTTGGGGACTTGGTTGATCAGCATTATGTATTTTCACTTGCTGGATAGGAAACTGCTAAGCAGAATTTCTGTCCTGGTTTCTTTGTATTGCTGTACTAAAGCAATGACCAAAAGCAAGTTGGAGAGGAAGGGTTTTATTTCAGCTTATAACTTCCAGGTCATAATCTATCATCGAAGGAAGGCAGGACAGGAACCTGGAGGCAGGAACCGAAGTAGAAGAGACTTTGGAGGATGCTACTTACTGGTTTGCTTCTCTGGGCTGTGCTCAATTTAGAACTACCTGCCCAGGGTTGGCACTGCCCACAATGATCTGGGCTTTCCCACATCAACAAGCAATTAAGAAGATGCCTTACAAACATGACCACAGGGTGATCTGATGGAAAAAAAAAATGCCTCAATTTAGGCTTCCTCTTCTCCAGTGTGCCAAGTTGCCAACTGAAGCTATCCAGAAGAGCAGAGGTATCTGGGCGTACACCACAGAAATAAGATTTATTTTATTTTATTTGTTTTTTTTTGTCTTTTTGAGACAGGGTCTCCCTGTAGCTTCAGCTGACCTGGAACTCGCTATGTAGACCAGGCTGGCCTCGAACTCACAGAGATCCACCACTTCAATCCAAGTGCTGGGATTAAAGGCGTGCACCACCACGTCCGGCATAAGATTTATTTTCATAGTGAAAATAAATTGATTTCCATTCCCTCACATTCCCTCTTTCTCTTTCTCTCTCTCTCACATGGGCTGTATCCTATCTGTCTGTCTATCTATCTATCTATCTATCTATCTATCTATCTATCTATCTATCATCTATCTATCATCATCAATCTATCTATCATCTATCATCTAGCTGCTGTTTATCTATCATCTATCTATCTATCTATCTATCTATCTATCATCTATCCATCCATCCATCTAGCTAGCTGCCCATCCATCATCCGCCTGTCCATCCATCCATACAGCTGCCTTTCCCCATGTTGTGTCAGACCCATAAGAACAAGTTTAAGGGAAAGGGCTTCATGATTCCCAACTGCCATGATTTGAGCTGATACAACATTAATGCAATGTTAAGGCCTTATCTATTCCCAAGGAGATGACCAAATGATTCCATCCTAGAGACACTCCTTGATTGGTACCCCCAACCCCTAACAGTGCTGCCCCAGCCTTCCCCAGGGTGGCTGTCTGCAAGGCTGCCTCATCTATCTATCATCTATCTATCTATCTATCATCTATCATCTATCTATCTATCATCTAATCTATCTATCATCTATCTAATCTATCATCATCTGACTGTCTGCCTGCCTGCCTGCCTGCATGTGGAGGTCAATAGACAGCTTGTAGGAATCAGTTCTCTCCTCCATGTGGAACCCAAGGAGCAAATTCAGGTTATCAGATTTGTTAGCAGGTGTCTTTACCCTCTGAATCATCATGCCAGTCCTTCACATTCTTTTTGATTAGCCACTCTATTTTGTATATGTTTACAATTCCTGCTGATACACGAATGTGAGTGTAGTGGCATGCTTCACTAATTGGCATTTATCTAATGTTTTAAAGTAGTCGTATAAATTAGATTTTATGAGAGCCCTGATCCTAATTCTCTCTGTAATAACATTATATACTTTGAGACAATCCAATGATTTTACTTATTGCCAGAATTTATTATCAAATCCTTATAGCTAAAGTGCTTCCTCTTCCACTAGTAAATGAATGCTTACTTCTATAAGGACACAATATTTCCTTAGGCAAGTTTATTCATTTATTTTTCTGGCTTAGTAATTGATGACATTTAGGCTCTTGGGCTAGTGTCCATACAGGTAAATACAATTTTCTTGTGAATAAAAGGGGAAACAGAATATAAATCTTTCCTTTCTACAGTAGTTGACTTTTGATTCTATTGTTCTTTCGATACTGGGATCTTAAAACTAAAGAGATTCTCAACCAGCTACAATGGAAATGTGGGTGCAGTGTTGTTGGTTTCCACTGGGGACTGGAAAGCCTCATTTTTCTTCAAATTATAAATTCTTTTTTTTTTTTTTTTTTTTTGTCTTTTTGAAGCAGGGTCTCCCTGTAGCCCCAGCTGACCTGGAACTCACTATATAGACCAGGCTGGCCTCAAACTCACAAAGATCTTCCTGCCTCTGCCTCCCAAGTGCTGGGATTAAAGGCATGCGCTACCACGCCTGGCCCAATTCCTTTCTTTTTGGTAATTTGGTATGTGTATGTGATATATGCACACGTGTGTGCTGATGTGCCTCCTTTGCACATGTGTGCACAGGCTAGAGGAAGACCTTGTGTGCCTTGCTCCGTCACTCTGTTTTATTTCCTTGAGGTAGTGTCTCTCAGTAAACTAGAGCTTTTGGTTTCAGCTATATTGGAGGTCAGCAAAGCCTCAGTGATCCCCCTGCCTCCATCCATCACAGTGCTGAGGCTACAGGTACTCATGCTTGTACACAGCAAGTGCTCTTACCCACTGAACCATCTTCCCACCCTCAAGTTATGGATTTTTCCAGTAAATTATGTCAAAAGGAAAGAAAAAGAGCTTCATTACGAGGGTTTTGTTTTTTGTTTTTGTTTTGTTTTTTGTCTTGTTTTAATTTGAGGTAGGGTCTTACTATGTACCCCTGGCTGACCTGGAACTCACTATGTAGACCAGGCTGGCCTTGAACTCACAGAGATCCACCTGCCTCTACCTTCCAAGTTGCACCACTCCTGGGTTAAAAACAATTTTTTTAAAGACATGGTCTCTTGTAGCCTAGGTTGTTGTTGAACTTCAACGAAGGAAATTTTTGTACTTCTGATCCTTCTCCTGCTTCTCCTGAGTGCTGAGATTTAGGCTTGTGCCACTATGTGGTTCTTTTAGTTTTAATAATGATAATGATGATAATGATAATGATAATAATAATAATAATAATAATGAGAAAACCAGGTATAAACCTAAACAGACAACCCATAATACATTTGGCTATAGACATTATTTATTATCCAGTGAATCTCTTTTTTGGGAGGTTAACTCACATCTGTTTTCACAGTTTTTCAAAATAATACTAATTTCTATTTACTTATGTGCCATTCCAATGTTTTTCTATCAAAGGAAGGGAGGAGAAAAGTCACTGTTTCTCTTAGGCAAACAGTTTTTTAGGATTTGTTGCTGGCTGTACTATAGGCAGCTTCCTGGTTTTCTGTCTTCCCTCCCTCCCTTCTGTCATAGCTTGTATTAGATGAGCAAATTGGAGCAGACGCCTTGTAAGAATGGTGCTGAGGTGCATGCAGGTGATAGAGGCTGGTGGTAGGAGATCAGGAACATTTTCTGAAAGTGTAATTGCTTGAAGCATAGATGTGTAAAAGCTTGAAGCATAGATAATATTTGGAGTTCAACTTAGATGAAGTGATAGCCTGATCCTGCAGGGTCTGGTTAAATTGTGTAGCACAGCTGGGAATAGAGCCAACCCTTTGCTATGTTCTGGTACTTGAACTTGGGCTGTACCTCTACCAGACTTACTTATTTTACAACTAGATACCAGGGAGAGAGGTACTGTGTCAAAACACAGCTGCTCCTTTTCTAGGAACACTGACCTTAGTTTATTCAGGAGTGGAGTTGTCTGACAACAGCAACCTCCTTGGTACCAGAAAGCTAGCTTACTTTGAATGAATTACAACTGTAGGATGACTGAGTTTTTGCATACTGCTTACTTATTTAAAGTGTCTTCTAATCACCGGTTGGATTTCAGACCCCTGCCTTGAATTTGCTGTGGGAGAAGTGCTGCAGTGACAATATGGTGGTTCGAACAGCCTGCTGTGAGGGTCTGGTGGCACTTGTTGCTCAGGATCATGCAGAGTTCAGCTATGTTGTCAATGGGATACTCAACCTGATTCCCTCCACCAGGTACATTTTCTTCCATCTTTGATTAGGTAAAGATTTATGTTTTTAGAAAAACAATCCACTAATCCCCTGCTAAGGGTCAACATTCACCCAGTTTCCTAATTGTTTTTCTTTCTCTTAAGATGGCATGCAGTTGGTATTTCATATATGATAACATCATGGTAATTTAAGCCTTATAATTTAAAAAATTATCAACATGCGCTATACTTATATATCGGGGTTCAATTTAAATTTGTCAATGCTCTTTATGCAAAAAATAGGTAAGTACCTTTATAATTAATTATGGTAATACAATAAATTCCTATGGTGATTTCAATAAAATTCCTTATTGAAATAAAACAAAATTCCTTATTGAAATAATTTTAAGGAAGAAGCTTGCCATATGCATTTTTACTTTGACGGTGACAGAATTTAAATGTTGTGTTGACAGTCCTTAGTTGGCCCTAGACACCAGTGATATGTATTAGGAAATTATAGTGCTTATTTTTTTAAAATATTTTATAAAGAGCAATGTTTTTTTTTCATGAATTTATTTGCTTATGACCATGTTTAGTCTGTGAATGGGCACAGGCTGAGAAGACAACGGAATACAATGCAACAGAATTACAATGGAGAAGCAAAGGCCTGCTCCATTTTAAGATAGTCAGACAGCACCATATTTGAAACAGTGAACAGCTTTTATAAAATACTCCCTGAGAGCTGGGGGTGTAGTTCAGTGATACAGTCCTTATCTGCCATGTGTGAGGCCCTGGGTTCTCTGCCTAGAAATGTTGACAAAAAAAAAACAAAAAGAACCAAACTAACCAACTAACCAACCATGCAACCAGCAACCAACCAACCAACCAACCAACCAACCAACTAACCAACCCAACCCAAAACAAAACAAAAAACAAAAACTAAAACAAAAAACAACAAAGCCACAAATGTAAAACAACTCCCTGAAGAAGAGATTCTGGTTTTTTTGCTTTGAGAGATGATCTTATAAGCCTTCGTTTTTGACAAGCTGTAAATCATCTAGACTTCTGCTCTGTTCTCTAACTCTCATGGAGCCCCACCCTGGGGCTTACTAGTTCTCATAGTATTAATTACTTACCCTTATGGTCATGCCATCTTGTTGCATGCTTAATCTCTTCTGGCTTAGTCGAGAACAGGTGTGTGGTGAGTCCATCAGTCTTTATTACCTCTATTCTTTTTTCCTCTGTTTTTTAAAATTATTTATTTAATAACCACATTCTTAGAAGAAGCATTTCGTTACAAGAGCATTGATATAGTCAACAACAATTTCCAGAGCTAAGATGCATCTCTTTCAAAATTGGCTGTAAATTTCTAGGTTTACAGTTTAATTATTACAGTTATATGATATTGTACTCAGTATAAGCCCTATAAGACATAAAATTAAATGAGGTTTTAACCTTTAAAAGAGATCTCCATTTCATTATTAAAATACACAGTTTCATACAGAAAAATTCATTTTCAATGCAATTGACATTAAGATGTTTGCACATGCGTTTCTAATCTCTATATATCTGATTATTACTAGTCACAGTCGGTTGCTTTCTGAGCTCCTTGGCATCTGAACATGGATATAAAGTTGTTAGGTAGATTTCAATGGTAATGTTTTTCACATCTACTAATTAAGGAGCAAATTTTTTTTTTTTTTATTTCAGAAAATTTTGTTTCTTAAATCTTTATTTATTTATTTAATTAAAAGAAGTATTACATTACAACAGCATTAACCTACTCAATAACATTTTTCTGAGCTAGGGTACATCTCTTTCAAAATTGGCTGTACATTTTTAGGTTTACAGATGAATTGTTACGCTTGTACAATCTTTTACTCATTACGAACTCTATAAGACATCAAATTAAATGAGGTTTTAACGTTTTA